AGTTATGAGATTTTTACATTTTGATTTGTCGAAAAATTCATATAAAAATATTGTTAATTTCGGTATAAAAATGGTAATGGACCTTCAGTCAGAAGCTTAAAAGAAAGTGAAGGAGCCATTTCCGACCCCATAAATCATATATATTCTTGATCAGCATCTACAGGCCTTTCTTTCTAGCTTTATCCGGCCGAAAAAATTTTTTCAGAAAATTCCCATTTTTCGGAAAAAAGGAAAGGGGTTACATCATGAAAATTTGCAAAAATCGGCCAAAAATTCACATTTTAAATTGAGTACGCAGTTTTGTTAACCTGCTAAAAATTAACATACTGCCGCTTTCCGAATTGAAATTAATGCGTTTTTGGCTGAGTTATGAGATTTTTACATTTTGATTTGTCGAAAAATTCATATAAAAATATTGTTAATTTCGGTATAAAAATGGTAATGGACCTTCAGTCAGAAGCTTAAAAGAAAGTGAAGGAGCCATTTCCGACCCCATAAATCATATATATTCTTGATCAGCATCTACAGGCCTTTCTTTCTAGCTTTATCCGGCCGAAAAAATTTTTTCAGAAAATTCCCATTTTTCGGAAAAAAGGAAAGGGGTTACATCATGAAAATTTGCAAAAATCGGCCAAAATTCACATTTTAAATTGAGTACGCAGTTTTGTTAACCTGCTAAAAATTAACATACTGCCGCTTTCCGAATTGAAATTAATGCTTTTTGCTGAGTTATGAGATTTTTACATTTTGATTTGTCGAAAAATTTCATATAAAAATATTGTTAATTTCGGTATAAAAATGGTAATGGACCTTCAGTCAGAAGCTTAAAAGAAAGTGAAGGAGCCATTTCCGACCCCATAAATCATATATATTCTTGATCAGCATCTACAGGCCTTTCTTTCTAGCTTTATCCGGCCGAAAAAATTTTTTCAGAAAATTCCCATTTTTCGGAAAAAAGGAAAGGGGTTACATCATGAAAATTTGCAAAAATCGGCCAAAAATTCACATTTTAAATGAGTACGCAGTTTTGTTAACCTGCTAAAAATTAACATACTGCCGCTTTCCAATGAAATTAATGCGTTTTTACTGAGTTATGAGATTTTTACATTTTGATTTGTGGAAAAATTTCATATAAAAATATTGTTAATTTCGGTATAAAAATGGTAATGGACCTTCAGTCAGAAGCTTAAAAGAAAGTGAAGGAGCCATTTCCGACCCCATAAATCATATATATTCTTGATCAGCATCTACAGGCCTTTCTTTCTAGCTTTATCCGGCCGAAAAAAATTTTTTCAGAAAATTCCCATTTTTCGGAAAAAAGGAAAGGGGTTACATCATGAAAATTTGCAAAAATCGGCCAAAAATTCACATTTTAAATTGAGTACGCAGTTTTGTTAACCTGCTAAAAATTAACATACTGCCGCTTTCCGAATTGAAATTAATGCGTTTTTGGCTGAGTTATGAGATTTTTACATTTTGGTTTGTCGAAAAATTTCATATAAAAATATTGTTAATTTCGGTATAAAAATGGTAATGGACCTTCAGTCAGAAGCTTAAAAGAAAGTGAAGGAGCCATTTCCGACCCCATAAATCATATATATTCTTGATCAGCATCTACAGGCCTTTCTTTCTAGCTTTATCCGGCCGAAAAAATTTTTTTCAGAAAATTCCCATTTTTCGGAAAAAAGGAAAGGGGTTACATCATGAAAATTTGCAAAAATCGGCCAAAAATTCACATTTTAAATGGAGTATGCAGTTTTATTAACCTGCTAAAAATGAACAATGGAAGGCTTTCCGAATGGAAATTAATGCATTTTTGGCTTAGTTATGAGATTTTTAAATTTTGATTTGTCGTAAAATGTTCATAATAAAATATGGTTAATTCCGATATAAAAATGGTATTGCACCTTCAGTCAGAAGCTTAAAAGGAAGTGAAGGAGTCATTTCCGACCCTATAAATATTCTTGATCAGCATCAATAAGCGAATCTATATATCTTGCTATATCTAGCTTTTTTCAGTTCTTCCCTGGAACTATTGCTCCCATAGATTACAAATAATGTACTTTTCTGCTAAAACATTTAGCTGGAACTGCCTGCCTGAACCCATTGGCACAATAGCAATTCTTATGTGATAACGCAAAGTGTTCTTTTCAGGTTTGTTTGTTTTGCCATCGATTAGTCAAGGCTTTTCGCTTTCGGCGAGATAGGCGACAAGTTCCCCGTTTAAGTGGAGGAACTGGTCGCCAAGTGATTCACTCTCAGCCCCCTGTTGTTATTGTTTGCCTGTCTTTGTCGAGGAGAAAGCGGGGAGTGAAACCGTAACCGAGCCAGATAGCGGCAGAGAAAGAACCCAAAAAAGATTGTGACTCGATGGTGATAAGGTGGGGAGACGAGGTGGAACTCCACTCTGGGTAAACATGAAACGCTTGGCTGGCTGGCTGCCAATGAACTGCACCACCGTTGGGTTTCGGATTTGGATTTTCTTTGGCTTGGCGATTGTTTTGTTATTGTTTGCGCTTGCATAAGGCCGTCCAAACAACAGCCAAGACATTGACAACAGGGGCCTGCCACTGCCACTGCCACTCCCCCGCCCTCGCTGCACTGAGGGAAATAGTACCCGGAAATTGGGGAATTTCTTCTCACACCATCTGTGCGATATCCCCAGCGCGACGTTGTCCCACAGTTATATCTAGGCTATATTTTCTGGGATGTTGTCACAGACATCCAGAGACACTCTGACGTATGTTTGTTTGTGATTTAAAAATCGATTCGAGGAGGGTGTGAACCAATCATTCGGTTATATAGATTGTAGAAACTATTTCTTGCGATGTTTACTTTGGGAAAGAGCCTCTTGTGACGGCATTGCCGTCTCTTTATATCGCATAAACTTTGGATATTTATGTATGGTGATATAATGCAATAATAATGAGCTTGGGAATGTTGAAGAAGATTAAGATAGGGATGTAAGATTAATTCCTATATGATAAATCGAAACAATAAACGTTCTCGTTATGTTTGGGAATCATATGTCCTCAAAGACGACACCTGAATTATTATTATTTTCTGCATCGATATTTTTCTCATTAATATTAATTCGAAAAGCTTTTCTGTGTTAGTTTTTCTCGGCAAAGGTACATAAACTTTGGTTTCCCTAACTACTGACACCGATAGTATTATCATATCATTATCAATTCAGATCCTAAATGTGATCTTGAATTTTAATCTTAATCTTATCGGGGATGTTGCGATAAATATAATTTCCTGCAGTGTACTTTGTGCCATTGCCTTGACAGCATTTCGTCTTGTTTTCAGTGAAATATGTAGCAAAATGCCAGCGGAAAAATTAGAGAAAGAAAGAAAACAAAGAGTCGCACGTGCTTTGGGGAACATGGACGGCGAGCCCACGAGTTTATGAGGCGGAAAGTTTCTTTCTTTTTGGTATTTCCCTTTCTTGCACTCCCTGGAGAGTGAGTGGCCTGAGATGATCGGCGGTTCCATTCGAGGGAGTAGCAGTGGGGGCTCCTCCTCCTTCACAAACAAATTGGTGGCCCCGTAAATGGGAGCATTTATAGTTCTATAACATTGAGTTACGACTTGGTTGGGGCTGGCCGAGGAGAAGGTGGAGGAGGAGGAGGAACCAAAAGTGGGCCATCTGCATGGAGCAGGGGCTTATCTGGGAGTCAGTCGTGGGAGGCAAAGGGCAGCCCCTCACCCGTGGCCTGTTTACATAAGATCACTCATTCTGTGGGCTGTGGAAGCCCATTCTCGGAGTTGATTAAGTAGACGCTTCTGGTGAGGAGTGGGATTAGGTTTGGGTCTCGGGTTCTGTTTCGGGCTTTGTTTTCCGTATTTTTCGGGATTTGTTGCCGAGGGAGTCGCCGGCCGTGCCCAGAGCTGCGCTGCGAGAGAGCTGCTGCGCAAAATCCCTGCGAGGTGGTGGTGGCTTTCTTTCAGCCAGGTCTGGGGTGGGGTTTCTGCAGGAGGAGTGATGATGCCAGAAATGCAAAAGAATGATGGCACAGTTAACACACGACCATGGTTACCCAAAAAAGGTGACGGGACACAAGGGTTGCAGGCCATCGCCGCCACCCACTGGGACACTGAGAGGACTTCTTTGCACCACCAGGTGCTTTGCGAGAGAGAGCGAGCAGCGAGAGCGGGCGGCACCCGAAAGAGAGCAAAGCAGATAGAGAGAGGGAGACAGAGAGAGAGCGGCACAAACAGGAGCTAAAAAGGAGCAGCCGAATATTTTGTGTGTACCTACCGGAGACGAAGCGCTTGCGACGGCAACTCCTATCCCTGCTACTGCTCCTCCTGCTGGCACTCCTCTTCGCTGTGTGTCCTTATCCGTGGCGAGAATCCTCTAGCTTGCCCTAGCAGCCAGCGGCCCCAGCAGCCCTTTGACCAGACATGGCAATGGATGAATATGAAGCTCCTGGACAGCGCCGCGCACTTTACTTCACTTTACTGTTTTCCACTCTCCACCGCACACACTCCACTCGGAACTCTCCGCCCCGGCTATTGCACTTTTCACACACACACACACACTTGGGTTCACTTGCAATTTTATAATTATAATACTTTGTACATAACGCACCTACAGATGTATATACACGGCGGACTGGGGTGGTGTGCGTGTGCGACTGCGAGTGTGGTTGTGTACATATGCTTCTGCTGCGATGGAAAATCACGCGAAACGCACGGAAAAACACGAGTTTTGGCTATGCGAGCGTTAAACGCGACAAATTGATTAATTTACCAGCTGGTTATACACTTTTTGAGCGCTGGTTTTACGGTTTTCCAATTAATTTTTAATGATTTCGCCGGAGCGCAGCCGATTCCTTTCGTTTATTTATTATTCGATTGACGTATTCGATGCCTCGATGGTCACTACTTCGGTAGCAGCAGTCATCGATTGGCATTCGATGAGCACTTTCCATTCGATAGATAGCTTATCGCAGACGAAAACCAACGCAAAAACCAGTACTGGTAAACGTATTGGAAACCAGCTGGGTGAACAGCTGATTAACCCCCAGAGCAGAATTGAAAAAACACTTGAAAAACGTAACTTTAAACATGTTTTAAGCAGAATTAAAAACGTTGGATATGCTTAAAAACTGGAGGGGAATCGGCCCTGTGCTTAGCAGAACCTACACCGCCAAGGCAAAGCGGAGTGTGCTGGCGCAGGACAAATCCAAGATCAAGGAGTACACGCCGAAGGTGACGGACAACCATGAGAACCGTGTATATGTGTGGGGATTCCAGGAAACTGGTGCACTGGGCCTCCAGACTAGCGTGAAGAAGGCCCAGGAGCGCTACACGGAGATGGTGCACCATCCGACGCGGCTGCAGTTCTCCAACAACAACGAGATCACGAATGTAACCGCCGGCTATGGGTTCACGGCCTATGCCGTGCGCCGAGACGACGGCGAGACGCTCTTCGGTAGCGGGCTGAATACAGACTCGCAGTTGGGCTTACAAGTAAAGGGTAATCCCAAGGATCCCGCCAATCTGGACGTTATAATCTACCCCACGGCCATTAAACTGCCGCGCATTCAAGGGGAAACGGACGAGGACATGCAAGTAAAGAGTATGTCGGCGGGTCGGGCTCACCTGGTGGTGCTCACGCACAACGGCATCGTCTTCACGCTGGGCAACAACTCCTACGGCCAGTGCGGCCGCTCCATCATCGAGGAGGAGCGCTACAGCAAGAGCGCACTTATCCACCGCATACCCCAGGAGGATATCTGTGGCAAAGAAGACGAACTGGTGCATGTGGAGTGCGGCCAAGATCATACCATGTTCCTCACGAAATCCGGGCGCGTCTACACCTGCGGCTGGGGTGCCGACGGCCAGACCGGCCAGGGAAACTATCACACTGCTGGTCAGATAACCCTCATTGCCGGGGACATAGCCAAGGAGAAGATTGTTCGCCTTAGCTGCTCCTCCGACTGTGTTCTGGCTGTCAACGAGGCGGGCGATGTCTTTGGTTGGGGCAACTCGGAGTACGGGCAGCTGGACGACTCGGAACACGCGGAAACACAAATCAATCTACCGCGCGCCCTCAAACTGACCAAGGGCATTGGCAAGATAAAGGATGTGGCGGCCGGAGGATCCTTTTGCATGGCCTTGAACGATCAGGGGCTGGTTTACACCTGGGGCTTTGGCATCCTTGGCTTCGGGCCCTTCGTGGAGCAGACCTCGCGGCCACAGCATCTTTTGCCGCCTCTCTTCGGGCGCAATGACTTCAGCAATGCCACCACGGTGGTATCCATCGGTTGCGGCGTCTTCCACATGGGTGCCGTCAACTCGGACGGCGATCTCTTCATGTGGGGCAAGAATCGCTTTGGGCATCTCGGTCTGGGCCACAAGAAGGATCAGTTCTTTCCTTTCAAGGCGGCCATCAATGGGAAGGTGAGCAAGGTGGCCTACGGCGTGGATCACACCATAGCTCTGTGCAAGCCGTACCTTTAGAAGCTGCAAGTTATATAGTATTTAATTAGTTATAGTTTTCTCAGTGAATAAAGCAAGAGCCTCGCTTAAAGATCACAAATTCGCGTTTAATACATTTTTAATTAAGTTTAAAGAACATTTAGATTAATTTGTTGTTTCCGATGATAGTTTCTTTCGGCTCATGGTTGGGATTTTAGATTTTGGATGCTGCTGGGTTTGCTCCATGTAAATAGCTTCGATCTATACTCGTTACTTGTTAGAATATGTAGTTAAAGGAGCATACTTCTATATAAAATATGTACTTGGAATGCTGCAGTGTGTTCCGATATCCGTCATCCGATCCGATCCGCTCCCCATCCTTGCTTTCGCTCTATCGTATTTGTCACAAATTTCGTCGATCGCTTTTGATTGCGTTCTATAGGTACATTTTTTGTTTACAATTCTCTACTAGGATCTTAAGCGATTCCATTCGCTAGATGATGATGACAGGTTCCAGATCCTAGATCTCGGGACTGATAGATCTCCGCGCGCCCGTTATATGTATGTATAAATCGATTCTAATTAATAATTGGTTTAGGTTTAGGTTTAGGTTTAGGTTTAGGTTGTGTGTATTCTTCCATATATATGGGGGTGTTGTAGCTTAAAAGATCCTCCTTCGGCCAGTCGCTCAAGCGCGATGCTCCTTCTCGTTGGCCTCATAGGCCTCCACTTCTGCTATGTTGGCCAGATCGTATTCGATGACGCCCTTGCCCATGAACTCGGCATACTTTCCGGCATCGGGCAAGGGGTCGGCTGAACGCTTCGAGACTGCAAGAAAAGGAAGAAGGGAATTCCCCCAAGATATTCATGTTTTATTGATGCATTTTTTCGAATTTTATGGGATGACTTACCGCCCGAGATGAACTTCTCCATTTGATAGACCTTCATATCGTAGCACTCGTTGGCAATCCGCTCCGAGATGAGCGAGAGATCGGTTATGCGGGGCGTGACCACGCGCATCTGGCGACGCACACGCTCCGTATCGATGTTGTAGTAGCCAGTGCCCATCTTCTTCATAAGGTCCACAAAGCTGGTGGGCGGCAGGGTGGTCTCCCTGTCCAGCGGCATGATGAAGCACCTGCCGGTGGTGGTGTCGATGATGGCCGACTGGTTCTCCTTGAAATCGTGCATGAACCTGCCTCGTCGTCCATCCTTAAAGTCGGGGACATCAACCCTGGCATAGCCATCGTCGTCGGTCTCGCCGTCCAGTTCGATTTCCTCGCGGAAATAGTTGCTGTTCTCGTCAAGGGCTGAGCTGCTATCCGGCAGGGGTCCGAACTGCGGCAACAGGGCGCGCCAGTTCAGGGCGAAGGGCTCGTCGCTGCGCTGGTAAATCCTTGGCTGCTCCATCGAGTCCTCGGGATAGGGAATCTCGCACAGGGCATGGTATCGCATGCTGGCATGCGAGGGGGCGTACAAGCGGTACAACGTCCAGCCGCCCAGAACGCCCATTAGCATCACCACGACGGCGATGAGGAACAGGAGAAAGGATTTCAAGCAATGGTGCTGTGGCCGGTTAAAGACCATGGACTCTGCATCGGCTTCGGTGTCGCTATAGGCGACTTTGGGCTAAAAGGTATATTTAATTAGGTTTTGTTTTTTGGCAATTAAAACAAAAACAATAATATAATAACACCTTTGAGACCCATTTGTTTATTTCAAAACAAAACTAAAAACCTAGGGAATTTAAACTATTATTTATTATACCCTAGTAGGGTATTCTAATTTCAGTCAGAAGCTTAGAACGCAGAGAAGGAATCATTTCCGACTTTATAAACCATTTATATTCTTGATCAGCAGGCAAACACCGAATTTTTTTAGGCATGTAGGAAAGGAAACAAATTTTGGTCCATTTTATCCCATTTTTTTTAAGGGGTTACATTGTTAAAATTTTCAAAAATTGATAAATTAGGTATGCATATTAATTAAACTAATAAAAACAAACACAGAACAACTTTCCGAATTAAAATTAATGCTTTTTTGGCAAGTTATCAGTTTTTTAAACACTGTATTTATGCTTTAATTCAAACTGCATACTGCAAGGCTTTAAAAATACATTGCAGCATTTCGAAGATTCTTTTTCTTAATATTTATTGTAAATAATATTACTGCGTACTAGTTAAAGTCCAAGAGAAGATTCATACATGGAGGCGTAGGAGGCAGAATGTGCATATAGTAAATGTCATATCGCCTAGGCCTTATCTCTTTTTTTTAAAAACGGTTTGCTTTGGGAAAACTCATAAAACCGCGATAAGTTGTAGTCACAAAAGAAAAAGAGTTCATATTTTAGCTGTATCATAAATATATGACTAAGAGAGCTCCTAATTAATTAGCTTTTATTAAGGTTAACAATTTAGGGAAACGCCTGATGAAACCTGACTTTAGTTACGATTATAATAACCCACCATTGATACCCATTACCCGGTTTAAATAACAATAATAGCGAATGAGAAACAACATATATCTATAGAGAAATGACTGACAGATAAGACGATATATGTGAAGAGTGCAAAATGTCTGGAGTTTTTGCTGATAAGACACGAACTTTCTTTGGGCTACTCTTTGCACCTGCTGCGAGAGTGTGCAAACACACTTATCGAGGTCACTGTGCGCGGCCAAAGACCAAGTGCCAGTCAGCGACAACAAAGAGCTGAAATTGGAGCTCGGAAAGACCAAATTGGGTTGCTCCATCCCATCCAGCTGTCACGGCCACTCAGGCTGCACATGCAACGCAGCAACAGGAAGGACCAGCAGGGCCTCCACTCTGACCTCGGGGAGCGAGTCCTTGAGGGGGGGCGTAGGGGGGAAGGAGCAGAAGCCAGCAGAGGAGTAGCTGAGGAGCAGCGTCAGAGAAAAACAGTGCAAGGACAGCGGGAATTCCGAGCGAGCGAAAAATCGATAGCCTGCAGGCAGCCGAGGCTGCTGAGGCTGGAGATTCCCCGATTACGCTTCGGACTCGGGCTCGGATTCGGAATTCGGAGCGCAGGAATGCGACCTCCCGCCGAGCCACCCACTTGCGAAACTTGTGGCTCGCGGGCCGAAGGACTGGGCAGTGGCTGGGGAAGGGAAAGGGGCAAGGACGCACTCCCACGCAACGATTGCGCAAAAAGGGGGCGAGAGGGAAATAAAAAAACTCACTGCGATTAACGAGCCATGGTGCAGCAGTGCCTCATCGTTGAGGTTCATAGGCAGTGGCACCTTCTCCTGGTCCTTGATCTCTCCCCGCAATTTGCCCAGAATTGTCATGGCTGCTCCTCGGTGTTTGTCTTCCGTTCGAATAATCCGACTCTGTTTGTTTTTACTGAAAAGTTGGTGCGCAATTGATGTTTGTACTCAGTGACGAACGAAGCCTATCGATGAGCCCTAAAGTTATCGGTGCATTTGATACCGTTAAATACTAAAAAGTATTCGATAGCTTTAAAATTTAACACAAATATTTTTTAAATGTATATGTATATAATTAAATTGAAATAAGTGGCATTTCAATTTCATTATTCTCATTTTTAGGTAATATTTTTGTGTCACTTGTTGTAATAAAAACTGGAAAAAGCTTGCCTACATCATAAATGATGAAACTTCTTATTCAAAAGAGCAACAAATGACACGAATATTTAAAATTAAATGGAAAATTGTTTTTATTTCGCTGATAACAACAGAGTTAACAGAGTTCCCACCCTTCAACATGCTCACGCTTTGTTTAGCGATCTCCAGACCTGATGCGGTTGGAGTCGAAGAGAAGACCCCGCCGTCTCCGCGTAGGATTTATTTCTGAATTATCTCCCGCTGTTGGGACTACAATATGAACTCTTACTCCTAGGTTCTACTTATGACTATGCTGGTTGGAGAGGAAGGCAAGGTGGCCCTTGGGGCACTTGTTGGCATAGTGGCCCTTGTGCCCGCACTTGTAGCAGGTTATTTCCTCCAGCGGCGTTGGCACCTTGACGTAACCAGGCGGGCCGTGCTGATTGTGGTGGTTAGACGAGCCATCCTCGTTGCCCTCGGAGTGACCTGAGTGCCCAGAGTGTCCGCCTGAGTGCACGGAGTGTCCTGAGTGTCCAGAGTGCCCGCCAGAGTGATCCATGGCATTGATATTGTTGCGATGCTCCACGCTGCCGACATACTGCTTGCACGAGTTGGCCTTGTGCCCCAGCTCACCGCAGTAGTGACACGTGGGCAGCTTCTTGTGGAGCTGATCCTTACTTAGCTCCGCCAGAGGTGGCAGCTCAAAGCGGGGATGCATATGCTTGCAGGAGGGACCCTCCGGACAGAAGCCGGCGAGGTAGTTCATGCAGAGCACCCGGCGCAGATGCTGGTGCCGGCAGTGGGGTCCGTGGCGACAGAAGCCGCGCTTGTACCAGGGGCAGTCCTTAACCTTGCTCTGCGGATCGATGTGGAGGAAAGGACACTCCTTGTTGTGGCAGGCATTGAAGCGCGAGTAGAAGTAGCACTCCGGCATCTTTGTCATGTCGTACTCGTGGAGGAATTCGCACTGGTCGCCCTTCTTGCAGAGTCCGCGCAGCCAGTGTTTGCACACGATGGTCCGGTCGCCGCGTATGTGCCGGAAGGGGCAGGCGCTGCCCTTGTCGCACTCCTGGCCGCTGCGCGTGATGAAGTTGCACACTGCGGCAATGGACTTGTCCATGCCATAGAAGGGCAGCGGTATGGCGCCAACCTGCTCGATCAGGTCCCGCTCCGCCTTGAACTGCAGGCCGTTCACGTTGGCCAGTAAGATGTCCATCTGTGACGGATTTAATGGAGGATGATGTGTCGGTATAAACAATAGCAATTTTCCTTCTTTTTTTTGCGCGTGTTTTGTTTTTGTTTATCGCTGCTAGAGATGACAGTTAGCCGGCGATAGACACACCGATATCGATAGGTTAGCGGGTGTTACTGCTGTTTTCAAATACTCATCTTTATAGTAATTTGATTCGAAGTCGGATTTTATTCCGTTTTATTTTTTACATGTTAATCATGTAATAAAATCCTCAATGCGAGAATACAGTGAGCTGCTAGAAATTTTTGTTTCTTAAACAGGGAATAGAAGGTATGAAACCTACTTTCCTAAATTTTTCCTTATTATTTTCTAATTAAAATGAAACTTTTATGGCAAGCTTATATTTTCCTTCATATCGTGAAATTTATTACTTTCTAATATCTACTTTATCAAATAGTTCTCTTAATCGATAGTTGTGCCATCTCTGATGGCTAATTTTCACCGTGCAAACCCACCCCCGCCAGGTGTCGATAACCAGCTGATGCTATCGATCACTTAATTGTTTACAACTTCCTTCGCAATGTTTACAACGTAAGCAGTCCGCGTATAATTAGCTAAACAGGCGAGAGCAACTGGATGAAATGAGGATCGCGGCCCGCTGACTGAACCAACCCAACCTCCTAGACCCACTCTCGCACCCAAATGTTGCCTACGTACGAGCGCTTTAGCGACCCGAAGAGCGTCTTCTTCCGACTACCCTTCGCCCGGCTGGCGCTTACCGCTCTAAGCCTGCCCCTAGGCGGCTTCCTCTTCTGCGTGGCCTGGTCCCTGGCCTTTGACTTTGTACGGAGCACCTATACCCACTGCGATGTGGCCAACTATCTGCCCTCTGTGTCGGCGGCCATTGGGAACTATGAGCCTCAGCGGACGGTCTGGCGGCTGGCCATCTTCCTGCACTTGCCGCTCCGGCTGGCTGTGGCCAAGATGTACCTGGAGCACTATCGCGAGCACATCAGGCGCAGCCGACGGTTGCTGGGCGTCCTGGCCTGCTGCCTGAATGTGGTAGAGGACCTCGCCCTATTCTGCCTCTCCTTTTGGACGTCGGCGGATCACTATGAGACGCACCGGAACGCCTTCGTGGTGTTCATAGCCTGCTCCGAGTGCTACATGCTTGTCTCGTATCTGTTAAATAGGAATGCCCGGAAAGCGGTGCTTCTGCCGCACGAGGAGAAGTCGCTGAGGTACAAGAGAAACCTCTTTCTGGTGAATGTGGCGGCCTTTGGACTGGCGGGATATTGCTTCGTCAGGCACAATTCGCATTGCGAGGCGGGAGGTGAGTGATAATGGTCATAATTATGAAATACATGATACAAGAGTCCTGCACATTAATCCGTTAAATCCACTATGGTTGAAAGATTTCCTAAATTTTAATCGATTGCAAAATAGATTCTTAAAAAGTTGGAATGTCGTTAAACATGCTCAACGCTTAAGTTACAGCTTAGATTCATGGTCAGAGGTAATCAAAATCGAATAGAAGAGTTAATCTTTACACCTAAACTAATTTCACTTATGTTACCAGAATACGGATTACTCGTACTTATTTCTTTTAATATCTCTACACTCACACAGTCTACACCTTCTTCGCTCTGTTCGAATACGTTGTGGTGCTGACCAACATGGGCTTTCACATGACCTCCTACTGGGACTTCCACGCCCTCAACGTTGTGTGCGACGCTAAGCACGGCCTTTACCTATCACAGTTCTAAGAGATCTTACCCCAGCCCAGCTAACATCCAGCCAGTCGCCCCAAGCTGCGGCCTATCTTCGAGTATTCTGTACATACGCGGTATTAGCTTAAGCTCAAAGTTTACTTAATTTTTCCAAATGGATTCCGTTGCCGAAAACGATGGAGTATGACAGGACACGCTTTTAGTTAAGGCTCTGTATCTATTCTCTTAATTGGTTCAATTTTCGCAATTCGATATTTTCTTTTCTTTAATTATTTGTAAGCTAGAAAAGTTAGATAAATTCAGTATGAAGTAAAGTGCATTATTTATACAAGATTTAGTTAGGCAAAACGTTAAATTTTATACAAAACGCGATTTTAATTTTGGTTCTATGGTATTATTATAAGCAAAACTATTTTATTTACATGAGCTTTAGCAACGCAGTGGCAATTACCGAATTTTAAAATGGCTTTGATTAATATAAAATGATTTTTTTAAACCAAAAGAATGTCTTGATAAATTTGTCACTCGAAAAAGTATAGTTAGGGTTTCCTGTCCCGGAATTAATCCATTTGCCGGGAATAAAATGGAGCATCAACTACTGCCCAGTACCTCTAAGGACTTACAGTCTTGCAGACGACACATTCGGATCTCGGTTGCTCCCCTTCTGGCCTTGGGCCTGCTGCCCGTTCCTTTGTGTATGGCTTACAACCTGGTGATGGCCTTAGCTACGGACTTTCAGACTACGACCTCGACATCCTGTCGAGCCTTCAACATATTTCCCAGCGCCACGGCAGCAGCTAGGTCGCAGTCCAAGGCCTGGATGCTGGCTTGTTGGATGCAGTTTCCCTTCTGCATAGCGAATGCCTGGCTGCACTCCCGGTTCTATCGACGTACCCTGCCGCGACCGGTACGCAGTTTTGGCTTCCTGGTGGCCTTCGTCATGGCGGTGAACAGTTGCAACATGCTGGTGTGGGGCACCTATGCCGAATCCTATGGCGACTCCATGCTGACCATCGCCAATGCTGTGTGTCTGTTTTTCCTGAATGCCATCGTCATGGCCGGCACCTATGTGTGCTCCAACTATTACCTGCTGCTGGAAAAGACTTGGGAACTTCATGAGCAGGAATTCGTCCTGCGGCTGAAGAGCGGTCTGGTGCTCCTCTATTTCCTCGCTGTTGCAATTATGTGGATCTTCTACTTTATCCACCAGAAGTTTTGTATGCCTTTAGGTAAGTGTGTTCTTAATCAATTAAGATATTTGATTTAAAACCTTTAAAAGGTGTAAAGAGATTGGGTTTCTGAGTACAAAAACAAAAGCTACACATTGTCGGTTAGGAATACATATATGCAAATGTTTGGATATACCTGCATGGTAATACATATGTGCAAAAAACTGAGGATCGATAATTTTACCTGTTTTTTTTTAAATACTTATTCGATAAGCTAAGGGCATCGCCAATCGAAACAGTAACACACAATTGTTTGAATCCCGAAAATGGAAAGCACTTTATGTAAACATATCTGCGAAACAAAGAACACGACGTTTCAGTTTACCGCGGAACACTGCACTGAGCTGACTGCTTTACCTCGCTAAAAAAGTCATAGAAAATACCGGCATTAGTCATGAACGTGTGCCTTCTAGTCTTCCTATTTCTGTGTGGAGAATTGTCGACAACTGCCTACGGTCAGGAGCCGGCAAGCAACACCCTCTGCACCGACGACTGCCAATGCTGGGCGCAGTTAGGCAAGGGAGCTGCTACTTTGAGCAATGAAGATTGCGTCAGACTTTGTAATGATCGCCATAATAAATCAAATTGCCAGGCATTGGAAAACTGCCGCTGTGATCTGTCAAAGGAGAAGCACCTGATCTGCCGCAACAATGAATGGAGCTCGGAGGAAATCAGATACGTTTGCCAGGAGAAAAAGTCTAGACTAGGCCCAATATATCCCATCCACAGATATCCCTTCAGATACCTGCGGTACTTGCTGTCCCAAGTGGTTGCTGTTTTTAGTCTCGCTCCTGTTCAAGCTATTATCTTGGTCATTTTGTCTACTTAAAGTGCTTTTGTCGGCGGTGTTATCCCTAATTTTCTATCTAGGCTGCATTGCTGCCATTGGATTAGCCTGCTATCTGATATATCAATATAGACAACACCAGCACGTTGAGGTGGTGGAAGTGCACAGGAGGGTAGTAATTGAAAGGACGATATATCTATAAGAAGACCAAATCAATTAATTAATAAAAGGAAGCATTTCTTATAAACAAATGAAAAAATCAAATGTAATGTGTTCTAGTCCTAGTTCTATTGAGGAAAATGTTATTTGATTTTGTTTTAATACAAATACAATAAAAATGTATGCTACATTACGCATTGTTTTTGTCGGTACATCAAAAAAAGCCTAGCAATAGTATTCAACGAGCTATGTGTAGGTTTTGTCTTTGTACTCCTAAGATAAATACATAATATTCCCTCTAACTTATCAGTTTCTCCTTAATCCTCGAATCCCCCACAGCCTACTCTGTTTTTGGCCTTGGCGAGTTCATTTCCAGCGAAGCCTTTTGCTTTTACCTGTGCCTGGCCTACTTCGACTTCTATCACGTTCACATCTGCTACGATCGGCGTCTGGGCTTTCACCTAAGCGTGATCTGAACCGGATTTCTTTTATCACATTTGTATTGGAAAAACTGTCTTAAAAAATACAAAACCAACAAAATACTTATGGTAACCTAAGGCACTACGTCTCGTAGATGCGCACCAGATCCTCCAGTGTAATGGGGTGGCGTGTGACGGGACAATGCCCATGCTCCTTCATGTAACTCACGATGCATTTCCAGCAGAAGACATACCCGGAGACAGAACAGGCTGTTGGTGTTTGCAGAGGCAGCAGACAAACAGGACATTCGCCACGCTTGGGCATCGTTTGCTTAACTTCCTCGGGGAGATCGAGATCCCGCTGCTGCTGCGGCATCGGATCTGGGTTCAGTAGGGTTCCGCCTACCTTGCGACGCTGGTCATTGGAGTACCACCACTGGACAAACTGCAGGAAAAAGGCCAGCACTTCGAGCATTTTTAGTACAAGGTAGGTCCACTGATCCTCCCGCGGCGGCTCACTGGGGTAGCGGAGCGTGAGGCGGAGGGCACGGAAAATTGGCGAGTGACTGGAAGCGTACTTGATGAGGTACAGGAATGTGTGACCCGCCTTGGCGGCATGGAACGCATGAAAGCCATTGAGCAGCCGTTGTTCCCACACGCTTGAGTCCTCGTGCCGGGCGCTTCGGCTGCGCAGCTTGCGCTCTACGTAGGGCAGAAGGGTCAGCAGTGTGGCGGATGCAAACTGCTGGCGGCGGGTCAGCAGTTCCCCGGTTGCTGTTGCCGTGCGCTGCAGCCCGTAGAAGCTCTCACCGAAGGAGGAGGCTCGGTTGCGCAAGTATAGATACTGCAGTAGCCAGGTGAGCAGCGGCGATAGCTCCTCCTGGACCCTGAGACTGCCCCAGAGTTTAAAGTCCAGCCGGAGGCCAAAGTAATCGAAGATCTTGCTTAGCGCTGGATAAATCAGGTTGTCCAAAGTCTCCGCCGCCGATATCTCGAAGATCGAGGGTACATTCTGCAGATTTTGGCGCACGTTGGCGGCTTCTGCCATTATCTTGTGCTGTGTTTATGACTTTAATTCATTAATTTAAGTAAAATTCAACAGTTCACTGTGCAGTGTTGCAAAGCGTCGAAAGTGGTTTGCTATTGTTAAAGTTAGTAGGTTAATCGGTTATCGAATATCGAATGTGACTGATAAAATTGAGCAACGACGTCTTCATTATCCGTTTTATTAATAGGATCCTATTTATTATCCCAATAACGAATTGCCATCATCCAATTAAGGCTTGATTCCCTTATATATTCCGGTATATTGAAGTTATGCAGCACTGTTACTGCACTAGGCAAGTTTTCCAACACTGGCTGGCTGCAAATCTTGCGAAATATTTTGTTTATTTTTTTTTGCCGCCGCCTGCAATGTTTTCTCTCTGAAAAACGGTCAAGGAGAACAGATGAGACGATGAAAAACCTGGGTGCCGGCAATCCGGACGAGCTGAACAAGTCATCGCACAACAAGGTCAGCAAGAAGTCCACAAAGTCGCGCTCCAAGACCGCAAAATTGGAGTTGGGTAGCAGCAAGAGTTCTTCCTCGGCATCTCTTGCCTCCGCCTCTGCCGCGTCCGTATCCGGCTCTGCGCTGGGTCTGGGTGTTGGAGCTGGCGTGGGCAGTTTGCCGGCCACGCCCACGCATCTAAATATGGTAACAACGCCGACGACACCCACCTCGAGTCTGGTGAATTACAATCTGTTCGATGCCTCATTTGCGGTGGCAGGGGGCGGGCACGGAGCAGCGGGAATAGCGCCGGGCGAGGCCTCCGGAAACGCCAGTCGAATGGTGAGAGCGGAGAGACGATGCTGTGGTTCCTTTAAACAAATCCAATGCCTCTTTGCAGGGCCATCACAAGAGCTACGCAGGCTTTGATCCGCGCAGCATTAAGATCTTCTGGGAGCAGCACGATCAGACGGATGTGGAGCTGTCGCAGGACGTGTGCGCGCGGCTGGCAGAAGATGCCTCGTACAAAGTCTGGGAACTGATTAACGTAAGCCGCGGATCCCTAAAATTGTTTTCCAGTTTCCTAATTCCATGTTTTCCTGGCAGAATGTGAAGATCTACTCGCGTCATTCGGGCGGCGTGGTCACCTACGACTTGGTGAACGAGGTACTTAAGGATGCCAACGTTCCGCCCATGCTGGGCGCCATGGACAGTGAGTGGGACCGCATTGACTACGATGGTAGTTACTACTTCCATTCGGACAAGATCTTCGAGCTGCGCGAGGAGTTCCAAAAGGAGATAAGCCTAGCCATGGCCGACGATGTTGATTTTCACAGCATCCGGCCCGTTGAGGATAGGCACACGGAACAGCTGAAGCTGTGCGTCCAGAACCTAGTAACCGCCGCCCTGTTTGCAGACAGCAAGTCTCAGAACGAGGCTATTGCTCACGCCTTCCAGACGCCCCTCATGGGCTCAGTCTATCGCGTCCTGGTCAGCAAAATAGTGCAGCTGCTAGCCTTCAAGCAGCAGGATGCACTGAGTCGTCGATGCTGGCGTCTGCTCCGTGCCTGCAACTATAATGCGCATGCCAACCATAGTGCCTGCAGGCCGGAATACTTCCACCTGGCGGAGGTGCTTGTCAGCCAGCTTATGGCTCCTTACGAGACCATCAAGGCGCCACCTTCAACGTCACTGGAAGTTCCTTCTGACACGACTGATCTTGGTCAGGTTCCGGTCAAGATGGAGCTGGAGGAACAGCTCAAATTGGAGCCAGATCAGGAGCAAATGGAGTTCCCTGTCGAGCAAAATCAGGAGGAGCACACCATATACAGCTTGCAAACGGAGGATGAGGGTGTCACTCCCGAGCCGGAGGAGCCCCAACAGCTCTCCAGCTACTTTGCCAGTCCCGTGAGCAATGCCCTGGTAGATGAGCTCTGCGATACCATTGGCCAACTGGCCTCCCAGAGTGGCTACCTGCAAGCAGAGTGTTTGTTTCTGATCATGCGTCGCCTCGCCAGATTCTTTGAGGGCCGTGATGTCTGCAGCGAAAGAGGTGTGTGTCCGCAGCTAATTCTCCACAGCTTTTGGTTCAGAGTTTACTCTTTCAGACTTCAAGTACATCAGCAGAGCGGTTAGAGGACTCATTGCCCTGGGCGAGTACGCCTTTCGGGAGTTCATACCCTACATATACAAGCTGCGCGTTGAGGAGATCCCGGAGAGCCTGTGGCAGGATTTGGCACCAGCTGCCATTTTCTTAGGCGGACGGGACGACATCTACCTGTACGAGTGGCTGGAGCACGGATGTGGAGTCGCCGCCCTCCAGCCCTTTCTGGTGTATTATGCGCGTAGGGTTTAATAGTTAATGTACCGAGAAGGTTTTTCCTAATGTTTGTGTCTCTTCTAGGAGCCTACGAGAAGATGGTAACTCGGCGTTATGTGGGCGCCAAGGCCCCCGCTTACAGAATAGAATCCGTGCCCGGTGTGCGTCGCCTGGAATGGAGCACCTTGGCGGCCGCCATGTGCCATGGAGATGATCCCAGCAAGGCCCTGAAACCGAAGCCCACTCTCCGGGAGGCCTTCCCCGAACTTCAGCCGCCAAATCTCCAGCTCAACTGCGCGGGCAATATACGCTTCAAGTTCGCTGGCTGTCGACCGATGCTGGTCAAGGCCAAACCCAAGGTTTCGAGTGTTTCCTTGGATTCGCCTGCGTCCGCGGCAAATGGCGGTGGTGCTGCAATGGCTGGCAGCAGTTCCTCCGATATTCTCATTGCCAAGCGAAAGCTTTTCAAGCCGCTGACAAACGTGAAAAGATGGCCGCCAACCAGTGGTTATCACTATCTAAGGATCTAAGGATAAATGGGGGGAGTAATAGTAGGCCTTTTCTGGATTAATGGAGGGAGCCGGAGGGGATCTCAATAAAAACAAAAAAGATAGACTTATATAAATGCTATTGGTAGCTTATTAAAGAGAAAACGGACGGACTAGGGCACCTAAAGTGATCCCTGTAAGCCCCAAAGGCTACTATATTGAGGAAAACAAAACATTTTATTGACTTACAGAACAAAACAAACGGCTAAAAGGCCTCTTCCTGAGCTTGTTGTGGAACCGGCACCCCCGCTGCCTTCATCTCGGCCATTATCCGCTTGTTGATAATGTTCCTGATGTTGGCATTCACATCCGGCAGCAAGCCGCCCGTGCGCGCCGTGTGCTCTATCCGCTGGACAACGTCAATCTCGCGCCGCGACGAGATCAAGTTGGTAACCAGAGCCTTATCCACACTGCCCACGCGACCGATACGCCCGCAGCGATGGATATAATCTGACACGTGTAAGGGAAAGTCAAAATTGATGACATGTCGGGCCCGGGTGGTGTCTAAGCCACGGCTGCCCACGTCCGTGGTGGAGAGCACGTCACAGCTACCGTTTTGAAACTGCTCAAAGCGGCCAAGGCGGATTTTCATCAGCATGTCGCCGTTCAGGTTGAGGCAGTTCACGCCACTGTTGTTAAGGAAGATGGAGACGTAGTCGCTGGTGGCCGACTTGTTGCTGAACAGGATCACTGGTCGTCGCTTGGTCAGATCCTGCTTGACGAGCGACAGTAAAGTGGCGGGGCGGTCTGCCTTGGACATGCGCAGGAACTTCTGGGTCACGTGCGGCATCAGGCGGTGCAGGTTCGGACTCACCACCTCCCGGATGGTGTCCACATCGATGACCTTGTGCAGGATCTCCCTGGTATTTGTGGGCATCGTAGCGGAGGCCAGGATGAGCTGTGTACCAGCATCCGGCTTGTTAACCAAGTGGAACTATTGAGGCAAATAGAAGAGGTTACGCCAGCTAGCTTCCTGTGTTCCGAGTACTCACGGGAAACCGTCTGAGGAAATAGGTGAGCTTGTCCGTAAAGGTGTCGTCCAGCAGTGTGTCCGCTTCGTCGAGGACCAAGTGTCGCACCTGCTCCATCCGGTAGATGCCAGTGGTCACCAGCTTGCTCAGGGCACCCAGAGTTGCCACAAGTACGTCCACCTTCTCGAACTGCGGGCTCATCATCAGCTGCTTGGTGTTGCCGCCCAACAGGGACCTAACCTTGAGATCCGTGCCCTGGGTAAGCTTCTCCGTAACCGCGGCTATCTGTGTGGCCAATTCCCGGCCCGGTGTGAGGATCAGAGCTCGAGGCGTGTTAAGCCTGCGTTCGGGCGCTTCTCGCTGGAGCAGCCTGTCCAGAATTGGCAGCAGATATGTTAGTGTCTTGCCGCATCCCGTCTCGGCAGCGATCAGGCAGTGACCGCCCTCGTGGACAATAGGCAGTCCCTGCACCTGAATGCCGGTCAGCTGTCGGATTCCCAGTTCCCCTTGCAGGTTCTCTAGCAGCTGCGGATGCACCTTTATTGACGATGTCTCCAGGAACTCCTCAACGCTCTGCATCTCCCGTTGCAATTCCTCCGCTCCGACGCTGGCATTCAGAATGAAGTAGTCGCCCTTGGACTTGTGGTGCAGCCATCCGCTGGAGGCCAGTGCCAGGCTCCCAAACTTGGCATCTGGGCGCTCGTGTTGGGTTAAATTGAACTGTGTTCGCCGGCACGAGACTAGAGGATTCTCCTCTGGCTGCTTCTTTCTGGGCTTTTCACGCACCTTCGAGTTCTGCGGCTTTAACCTGGTAGACGCCGCGGTGGCATAGGAAGTGACATGTCTGGAGGATTGCACCCGCAGCACCAGGGATAGGTTTAGCATTCTTTAAAAATTCCGGATTATCCAATGTTTTTAATTCACACGCCGGCGGAATAGAGATGACAGTTGCAACGATAACGATAACAAGCGTTAAAGCCTTCGATATTATTAACTTATCTTATTTAATACTTTTTAAATGCTTTAAATTAGTTATTAACAAATGTAATGATAATACTAAAACTTTGCGCTCTTTTGTGTATTTGGTTAGAAATTGCAATATATGTATAAGTTGCACACATAGTTACATCATGTTGTGTGTTTCATCTCTATGTAAGACATATCAAACAATGCTGCCCATGTGGCGCTAAATTTGAATTCTTTACACATCTTTATTACACTGTTAATAAACGTTTTTAGCTCCACGTTGAGAAATAATACAAAATATTGGCTTAAAGTATATGCATACAATAAAGCCTGATAACAAAGCAGAATATTTAACTTCCTCCTTTTCCAAATCAAAATTGTAATCACAATTTTAAACTTATTGCTAATATTTCAAGAAAATAATAATGTGCTAGCCTTTGACTAAACTTAATTACTCAAGTTTTCACATACATATATGTACTGTACATTCGCATCTCAATAGGGAAAACTCTACATTTTCAGTTTTCAGCGAAAGTTGTACTGCAGTTGTTGCGACAAAAACTTGCCACAACCAAGGAGAAGGAGAATTTCTTTTATCTCAAGAGCTCCGCCGTGGCTTCAAAGAGTTTTTAATTTCTGCAACGTTTTGCGCAAACTGTTGTTGGCAAAGGGATGGGGACGGGACCCCGGCGCACAGTTTTTAATATGTTTTAAGTAATTTGTGCACATTTGTGCGAATTTTTATCGCGGTCACAAAAGTTTGTCCTTTGTGCTTCGACCTGACATTGCAGCTTCCTTTCTGCAGAATCTTGCTCCTTGTTGCCGCTCATGTAATGATGACTTTATGACTTTATTTACGTGCAATAAAGAAGCCATTCCATCGGGCCACTACTTCCGAATATAAATGCGATGCAGGTTAATTTATTCGCTCCAAGTTTTCCCTCATTTCCATTATTTCAAGGGTAGAGAGAGAGAGAGAGAGCTGTTCTTCTGCTCTGTCTGAATTCAAAATGCGCCTGGGAAATGCGGCCTCCAAATATGCTAAATCCCAGGAACACTACTGAGCTGCTGCTGTCCTCTCCAGAAACCGGAGGAGGGCGTGTCACACTCGGCGCCGTGTTAACATACACATGTGCCGGCTCTTCTGCCCAGTGCCTGACGCATGTCTTGCCCCAAAAACGGTGCCCGGAATTTGCATTTCAATGATTAAAGTGTTAAAATGCCGGCCGACAGCCGACACATGCGGCGTGTATCCATCCAGGGATCCATCCCCATCCGCCTTCCCCATTGTATAGTTCCTAATGGCTTTATAAAGCGAACACCTCAAGCAAAATGCGATTTTAATATTCTCTCATACATACTCGTATATGTATTCCTTCGCCTTGCACATGGTGTGAAAAACTTGTAAAATGTTGACTTTTCTTTTGCAGGATATTTGCATATTTCTGAATACTGAAGGAAAATGTATTCTAGTTTAAATAACTACATTTTTCGGCCAAGGAATCTCTAGTTATATAACGGAAAAATAGTCAAGGATATGAAGGGAAAGGAAATTTAGTTTAAAAATTCCAATTTAAACGGAAAATAAATAACCAAGTCTTTTGTAGATTGCTTTGACTTAATATTATTAAATTAAATATTAATAGCAACGTCCAAAAAGTTTTATGCTTCGAATGCTCTTTAGCCAGTGTGCGTGACTCCTTGAATCCTCTTCAGGCAACAAAGACAGGTGCAGAGTTGTCCGAATTTGTGATTTTATGGTGGAGTCCTTCGCGTGTCCTTCCGCAGCTAATTAGATAAATCACTGTTTGGCTCTAATTGCTGCTCCATTTCGGCTGATAAGCACGGCCATAAAAAATGCCTAACAAAGGACACTTGGGCGGTGCGTGCGCCTGTTCCCTGTTTAATTGAAATCCTCGTGTAAATTGGTCAAGTGCTGGGTGCTGATGCGTTTCGAGTGCAGCAGCCACAGTGGGCACTGGCTGGCGGCGACAGGCCGCTGTCACTTGACGTGACAGTTGGTGGTGGACATTCTGTGGATTTTCCGGGATTAGTGGAGGCGGGGGGAGGGGGCGTGGCGGTGCTGTGCGTCACCCGCAGTGCGTGAAATGCATTTAAATTTTGCGTTTTGCACACTTGTCGCCTCAAATTACAGCGCATTTGTTGTCGAGTGGCGAACACGCTTTGTGCCAGCTTTGTTGCTGCATTTTGGCATGTAGTCACAGCAGCGGTGGCTTAAATAGGTCCACTTAAACTAATATTTTATAAAGAATTCAGTGTGAAAGTGATTGAGTAACATGGAGATCCTTGGCTATGGCTTGAAAATACTTTTATTAATATATTTGATTAAAAAGTGCTAGCAATGTGACCACAGCTGTACGCACTCAACCGTGCAGACAAGCTTTTGCGGTGCTCGAAACGCTGGAAATGCGCTTTAAGTACGCATTAGAGACAATGCAGAGGGAAGCATATAGCACGCGGTTGCATATAGCATATAGTCATCGCTCTAGTAGCACATATAGAACCGATTTTTGCGGATTAACACTGCACACGCAGATGAAATGTAAGTAGAACTTGGCAGGAAACTGCCAGACAATTGGTATTCACAAGCAGTCCTCCCAGCTACACATGTAAGCCGGCGTTCAAGATGCTCCATCCAACCATCCAAGCATCATCTCCTCCAGCGTCTCCCTCTTCAGAGACCCGAATCCGAATCCGGATCCGGCTCTATTTGTGTGTCCCCCCGAAGCCTTTTGTGTTTGCCGACGAGAAGGGGAATATTATGGAGGGGAAAGAGGATCCTGGGAACAACAAAAAACAAACACACGCACGCAACAGGGGAGGAGACCCAGGCTCAAGTCCTGGCTCCTGGGGTTAGTTTACCGATGCGGCTTTTACGGGCTTAACATATTAATTAAACTTGAAGTGGAAACACGAAACCCAGGGCGGGCAGGGTCAACTTTAAATTAAGTTTTAATCTGTTGCTCATATTTAAACAGCCAGACAGCCAGCCAGCAGGTTGTTTGTTGTGCACTGTCGAATGCACTGCAAAAACTATAAATATGAACAATAAACCTATTAAAATAGCAAAATATTAAGTTGCAAAATGTTTGCAAAATAATAGGAAACATAATATTTCGATATATCGAAAAAATGTAACATTTACAAACAATTTAGGAAAGGAATATCATTTTTTTTTGCTTTAAGTTCTTTGTAACTGATACATTTTGAATTGAAGTACACTTTAATTGTTCTTCTTTTTCAAAATGCAAATTTTATTTGTGCTAGGAAAAAAAATTCCACCTTCAAAATTTCATAGGGAAATAGTACATTTCAATCTAAATTTTATTCAATTTTAAAATTGTAACTTTTTTAAAGCAATATATATCCTTTAAGCAGGATAATTTAAAAGAAAAAATGGATCTAAAAGGCCTTCACACATTTTTAGTTGTGATTCGACTTTAAAGAATTTCTCATTAAGAATTCTCACTTTTTATTTTCTTAAACGTTTTGCTTTCTTCTTGATTTAATATAATAATAGTTTCCATTCATTCAATTAATTTTTGACCCTGCATTAGCTCTTGGGATTCCTATAGAATGTGCTTTTATTTGTATAGCCTTGCAGGGTATTACATTTCAGTCAGAAGCTCAAATCGCAGTGAAGGAATCATATCCGAGCCTATAAATCATATATATTCTTGATCAGCATCAACAGGCGAATCTTTCTAGCTTTATTCGGGCGAAAAAAAATTTCCCATTTTCTGAAAAAAAGGAAAGGGGTTACATCATGAAAATTTGCAAAAATCGGCCAAAAATTCACCCTTTAAATGGAGTATGCAGTTTTATTAACCTGCTAAAAATGAACAATGGAACGCTTTCCGAATTGAAATTAATGCATTTTTGGCTTAGTTATGAGATTTTAAAATTTTGATTTGTCGTAAAATTTTAAAAATAAAATATTGTTAATTCCGATATAAAAATGGTATTGCCCCTTTAGTCAGAAGCTTAAAAGAAAGTGAAGGAGACATTTCCGACCCTACAAATCATATATATTCTTGATCAGCATCAACAGGCGAATCTTTCTAGCTATATCCTGACAAAATTTATTTTTACCTTAAATTTTAAAATTTTAAAAATTTTAAAAGGGGTAACTTTTTAAATCGTTAAAATTGTCAAAATTTGAAAAATTTCAAATTTTTGTAAATTTAAAATTGAGTATGCAGATTTATTAACCTTGTAAGAAGTAGCATAGGATATCTTTCCGAATTGAAATTAATGCCTTTTTGGCGTAGTTATGATAAATTTCAAATTCTGATTTCCTGAACCAATTACAAACTTCTAGGATTTACAAACTTCGTCTTCCCAACGTTAGATCTTGTTTATATTTATATATATTTTCTCTACTCGGGTCCTGCCCCTGCAGATCCTGCTCCTCCTTTTGTTGTGGTTGTCAATAACCATTTCGGTTTCCCAGTGTAGGCGGCGGCGGGTCGCAAGGACACACTTTGGCCTGCGTGTGTCTCCTGCTGTAAGCTCTGCTGGTCCAGGAGCTGCTGCTCTGCATCACTAATTGAAATTGGACATTTGGCTGAAGTCCGGCGAGGACTGCTGACTACTGACGGAATGACTGGCGACAAGTGACTGGCAAGCAACGACATCGGGCTCTCATCGGAGAAAGTAACTTGTGGCTCCGCTAATGCAGTCAACTTGGATGCCACGTTCGTGTCCACGAGGAGTCTCATAACTCTTCGCAGGCCCAATCTCAATCCAAGTCACATGTGCGACGTGGCCAGGTGTGCGACTGCTCCTCAGATCCTCCGCTCTTCCCGACAGATTGACAGCTTAATAAATTAAAATGCATTAAGTGGCTGGCGTAGATTTGCGGCGGCCATAAATCTTTCACTCTTTCCGCTTCCCGGAAAGAAGCTAGGCGGAGAAGCTGAGCTGAGCTGAGCT